TACCAAGACTGCTTCTGCAGATGAGATTATGGCCTTCATTAGCAAGACCGCACCAAAAGCCGCTGAAAATGAACGTTACAAGAAGACTGCGCAAGAAGTTGAGCGCGCTGCCGGTGGCGAGCTTCACAACATATCAGCCCTTACAGGTGGCATGGTTGCTCAAGAGATGATCAAGATCATTACCAAGCAATATGTGCCCATCGACAACACTTGTATCTTCGACGGTATCGACAGCCGTTGTCAGGTCCTCCGCCTGTAAAAAGGTATCAGCCCATGGAGGTATCGTATGGGAAAGATAGAACTGGAGCAATGTCACGAGTAATGACTGGATAGAAGGATTTACAATAGAAAAAGGTCTCGTCGAACGACTTTGCAAGCAGCAATGGACATCGTGGAGTAGCTCAACGTGGTAGGGCCTCCTGAATCCATCTCCTAAATGACAACAGGTTTCAGTTTCCACATCGCGATTCTCCCTCAACCCTGACACCAGATATCGACCACGTGTTCGTCACAACCGTGAACAAAAGATGATACTTCCGATCCGAAGCCAGAAATCCAAGACAACAAGAAACGCACCCAGCAAAAAACATACAACAGCGGGGATTCGCTGGTCGTCACCGACCCAACTACTAATCCGCCGGTTAGTGGCTTGACTATGGGAGAGCGGACGGGATCCCGTATTTTCCACTACCTTTGGTCGTATGTGCTTGCGATGATGATGGTGTTGCTTATGGCCACTTCGTCTTGCATGTTCTCTGCATTGAAGTGTCCGGGACGTCTCCCGATGTTCCTGGCAGGTCATGTTGCTTGATTGACTAAGACAGTCCCACTATCAGAACTAGTCACGTTTCATCGGAAGACTGCGATTCCGCAGTCTCCTGAAATCATGAGTACATACAAACAAGGCCTCATTCGGTGATAGTTGTGGGTTGCGGGGCCATCAATGCCCCTGGCATCAATCATGTCATCTTGATATCAGGCCAGGAACCGGTGAGGAATTACGTTCCTTTTTGCCATCGTAAGATAACTATACTAAAGTTTAGTCACCTATATTCCAGCAAGGTACGTTGTGGCCAACGAATGAGCGCTGTATTTGAGTTCGCCTGCCACGAGCTCCTTGCCCCAGCAACACTGATCAACTCCTTCACCGTCACCCTTGCAGAATATTGCCAATTGTTAAAAGCCTCTTCCTGCCGCCGAAAACTCTCTCTCGCATCTTCCCGAGATACCTATATACGCTAGCAGGGTTGCCTGAGTCGCATCTGTCTCTGGATCGACGCTCTTGTTGCCGGTGTGGAGGCTGTGAGAACTTTGACGGGAACTCTCTAGAAACGACCGCAATCATCAAGGTACAACCTAGCTTGCTAGTCTCATAGGGCTATCAGCAAGTCCTCTCATTGCTCAGCTTTAGCGAAGAGGGCGGGAGCTTCAATGGAGGTGAATTAGGAGGGAGTGTTTGTTTACCCCGGACGTCAGGTGGCAAGCGCTCTACCACGTCTCAAGTTGATCAACAGTCGTATCAAGGGCGGATCACGGAATAGTTTACCACTCACCGCTTTATGGCAATACGACGTCTTCTTTTAGCAAAGCTCTTGCTCTTGCTGGACGTCGCCACCGCCTCTACATCGACTGCCAAGTTCTTCAAGCCTAGTGCTGTCTGACCTCGCTGTAAGGTACGCACAACCTGCATGTACAACTAGCAATCTAAGACCAAGAGTGTAACAAAAACCTCATGTCCGAGTTTGTGCAATGTAGTTCTTGCTCGTGTATTGGTGGCGGCGTACATTCCTGTGAAGCAGGTCGGTTGTCCAGCATTGCCCCTATAATACGTCCGGAGTTTTATCACCACAACAAAGACAACATCATTAGACTCGTGGCTAATATCAAAGTTTACCTAACGCGCCGGATCTCATGTGGATCTCGCGAGGAGCATTGTCCCCAGCCATCACTCTGCTAGGCTATATTTGATGTATATGATGGCCTTGTCAAACTGTAGGTTTGGTGACCTCTGGTCACATCTGTACATGAACCACGGGATATTAGGCGAAATCGAATGAATCTTCGGCATTATTTTGGGCCGTCTCTGTTAGTCTACCCTTGGCACCGAATTTCGGCGGCTACTAGTGCAAGCTCATGGGGTCTCCAGTGCCGGACTTGAGGGGTGCTGCCATGACATGTTATCAGATCGAGTCACATATGGGGTATATAAGTGCCACTATACTCTTTTCTTCACTTCTGCTGGGGATGCTACAGGGGCTCTAAGCATTTTACAAGTATTATGATCGACGGACATGCAAAAGGACCGTGACCGGATGTTAACGACGTGCCTATCAGAGGACAGAATGAGGTTCTTTCTTCAAGATTCTAGTACCTGGTGTGATGGAGAACCCGAGATTTCCGAGATCTTTTCCAAGGTTAAACACGAGAATCCTGTTCTAGCAAGGCATGAAGCAGAACTATAGTGTCTAGGGCGTGCTGAGTGTTGCCAAAGTGCTCAGGGCAGCAGAGTATTCAATATTCATGCAAAACGTCAGCAGAAAGCGAAGAATAGGGTGTTGAGCTGCTGATGGAGGGTTAGTTCTGGGTTGAGTTTATTCTTGATAGAGACAATGTCCGATGTTGAATCCGGGCGTGATGGTAACCACGGGTTTACGCTCCGACTGGCCGCTCGACCTGAATCTCAGGCGTGGCTTTGAAGTGTCCAGCGCATGCATACAGACAGACAGACAGACATACATGTTCATGAATTAGATGAGGGTAGAATCACGATGCTGTTTGAAATGGCTCGTTACAGTCAGACCCATCCGGCCGGAGGGGCAGCAGCGGCCATATCGCGCGCCGAGGCTGAGGACAGCGGGCGATGGGCTGCCAGAGTGTTCCGATAGCCAACTCACGTGGGAACGTGGTCGGTAAATCAGGCCGGCTCCTTCTGAAGTGGATGAATCTTGGCGCCGAGGGCCCCAGATCTTTGTAAACGGAAGAGAGCAATGAGCGGGCCTCTGAAGGGAGTCTCGTGGAGCGTGACGAGCAGTGGACACGGAGTTCGGTATCAGGACTATTATCCAGGCGGATCACGGTCACCTTCCCTGAAAGGTAACCAGGGGCCGAAACAGTTGGAGGGTTTGGGGGGGGGGGGGGGGGGGGGAAACCCGGGGTAGAAGCCCTGAAGCTGGAGGGGATTCAGAGAAACGGGCCGAGGATCCCAGACCCTTGGTAGACTGTGTATTAACCAGAGTTCTGTGAGTGGTATGAAAGAAGTCTCCGATGGGTCGATTAATGATCACACGCGCGACGCGAGGCTCATTTGACAAGAGTGCACTCGGTACCTTGGGGGAGAAGGTGTCCCATCCCTCGGAGGTTGTCCATGTGAACGAATCGCTTGCTTGCTTGTGCCTGTGTGTGAGGTGCGCGCTTTTGTTCTAAAAGCAAGGTGATGTGGTTAATTACTAAGGCAAGACTAAGTCAACGGGGAGGCGAATGGTAACATCGGATGAATACCTGCATGATATAGCGCCTGACGGAAAATTAATCAGGGAGAGCGGAATTACATTTGTGAATTTTTTATTATTTCATTTTGTGTTGTGTTGCGATGTGATGTTAGAGCTCAGAGATGAGACGTGAGGTCTGTCGTTACCAGACCAGGACGATCTGGCAGAGAGATCTCCTACATATACGAGCCAACATGTAATCCACTCCATGTACTACACGATCTCGCTTGTCAAACCAACACGTACGTGCGCCTCAATTGTACAGTCAAAGCAGATCATTCAGTCAATGTTGGTTCATCGATTGATTCTCTTCCCCAGAAATTCCCCGTAACTTGTCAACTTAACCATAAAATTGCTAAGTCCGAAACAGGAAGCTTGAGATGTGGTTCCTGGATAAATGCAAATCGACCAGGGGGTCAGGGCATGGATAAACATGATAGGGCAGCAATCGGCGGCTCGAACTACATGTACATGCATCTGGGCCATGCAACGCGACCCTCTGGCCCCTTCATCTCGTGGCCTTTTAATGTACTGCCCTGTTGCCTGTCGATTTAAGCCACCACAGTCATCCCATCACTTCCCCATCCACCGACTTCGACTTGACTTGGATGTTGAAAAAGAATGACGAGGGAGGGACGTGTGATGGATGCGAGGCGATGCTACTGTACTCTTCGGGAATAAGGGAGCTACCGCAACGCCGAGGCCTCTTGGAGATCTTGCTTCCTTACAAGCTTGGACTCTGCTACTGCTACTGCTGCTGCTGCTGCTCCGTTGCAGCCATCAGTCGACTGCCGTGAATGCTTCGGGCCGCCCAAGCCAATATGCCCGTCATTAAGGGCTGGGTTGGGTTGGATTGGCTTGCAATGGTGAGGGGATAGCGTTGGGCTCGGCTGGGCTGGACTCGACTCTGGAACTGCAGATACTCCTGAATCGTCACCTCACATCACCTTGCCTTGCCTTGCCTTGCCTTGCCTTGCCTTGTCCTGCCTTGTCCTGCCTTGTCCTGCCTCATTGTGATTGTTGGTTTGATGTCTTCAAGTGTTCGTGTATTCGTACGGATACAGATATTCCCGGTGCTCTCTTTCACCGGTTTCGATGCAATGCAGAAGCGTCTAATTAACCTCGGGTACAATACACGAAATGACTCGCAGAAACTGATCTGTCGTGGAGGCGGCCCAGCAGATCACGTCCTGTCTCGTCCAACTCTGAACAAATCTCCTCTGCAGGCATTTCCAAATGGGTCGCCATGCCCGAAGACAATCGTCAACGACAGGACCCTGAGTTTAACCTGCTTTTAATTTCACGTCCCATAACTTGGGCATAGTCAATGTCATAGCCGCCCCCCTCTCATCTGTCCGGGCAAAAGCTGTCTGTTGTGTTGTGTTATGCTACGCTACCCCATACGCTCTGGATCGTCCCTCTTCATGCGTCCATTTCAAGGACTTGCATCATCCCACGAATGAGGACCCTGCTCCCCTGTTCCCCACGATCCATTCCCGTACGTCTTGTAGCGTCCTTCTCCGCATTATCTGCTAGGGGTGGCGCCGGGTCGACCGTAGCATCGTCGCCGCTACTCTAATGTACTTGGCAGACCTGCTTCACTAACAGTACTACTTAATAAGTGTGGTGTCCAGCCTTACACAGATCAGAGTTTGGGGGCCCTTTCTCTTCGTGGCTTGCACAATAGGATTATCTTCCTGACTAGCGCTGTCAACTCCTTGTTAACATGTCTCCTTCAAGTACCAAGGTTGCCGCTGGTGGCTCCTTTCACACCTGTAAGTCAACCTCAACTCAACTCAACATAACATCGTCGTCTCGATGTTCTAACACCACAAAAGTCCAGGGAATCATTCCAAAAAAGCAGCCCGCTGCTTCCAGCAATGCAAGACCCAGGGTTGCCGGCACACGCCGCATAACGACTCCCCATGCCTGTACCGAATGCAAACGACGAAAGATCCGCTGCGATGGCAAGCTGCCATGTGGTCAATGCATCACCAGCCGAGCTCCAAAGAGCTGCTCTTACGATAAACATCGTCAACGAATGATTCCATCCAGAAAGTAGGTGATATGTCAAATCTGAAGATCTCTTCAGCTAACCGTCTCCCAGGGCTCTGGATAGCCTGGCACAATCTCTCGAGGAGTGTCGGTCAGTCCTTCGGCGCCTTTACCCAAACCATGACGTTTCTGCCCTGCGGACCATGGACAAACAGGAACTTATCAACCTCCTGGCTCAATCACAATGTTCACTCGGAGATCCTCTTCCATCACCACCTCTCGAGTCCTCATTTCCCAAGCCAGACACATCTCTAGTACCATCAGACTCCCTCCTGGAGCTTCAGTCTTCTCTCGAAGCTGACCTCGACTCACTCATCGGAGAGCTCGAGTTTGAGATACCTACTGAACAACTCGAAACCAATGACGGTTCCAGCTATCTCACACAACAAACCTGGTGGGACTATAGCTCACGGCAATGGAGCTCAGTGCCCGTGCCATCTATGATGGAGGGCCAGCCATATGGTCATGACTTGGTGACTCCGATGCAGCACTCGATGTATGAGGATGAGCGCGGAATCTACGGCTCACTTGAAATGAGATGACGAAAATGTAACTTTTCTCAATGTATTTTTACATGCGATTCCCGACTCTGAGTGGGTATAGGGACATCATGCACCCCCGGGGACGCAGGTCGTCTCCTTAGCCGGATCACAGCTTACGACAATGAAATGAGGTCACGACCCTTTACTTGCTTCACCTTTTTGCTTTACTTTATCTACAGCACGCCTACCTAGCTAGGTACTTTACTTTACTCTACCTATCTTACTACCTTATGCAAACACATATGTCTTGATGTTTGAGTACCTTATTGCTCTCTGTTTTCAGTTTCTGTCGAGGTGATTTGAAGTGTAAGCCTGAACTTCCATATCTGGAAGGCATCATCAGGGTGTTCTTCCCTCCCACGTCCATTAGTATCAACCATGCAGTGCCTTATCCCCAACGAGACCTGCAAATCATCCCCTTCCATCAAAATCTCCATTCTCGGGCGCGATCCATTCAACATCACACGGGAACGGAATTACAGAAGAGCAGACATGGAGCACGCACTTACCTGTAATAACCTCAAATGCCGAAGAGAGCTGAGTGGACGTGCACTTGTGACGACATGCAGGTAGGCATATCACATTCAGGAGCCAGCAGCCTTCTGACATTAAAATCAATAGCCATATCTTTTGCATGGAATGCGCCCAGCGACTCGGCGTCAACGGACAGGAACCTGATCGCCGCAACACATGCCCTGCCTGCCATTCACAACTAACCAATCCGGACGATGCCGTAGTCACGAACCTGAATCCAAGCGAGGACTACAAGACCAGTGTTTTAAGCGGACTGAGCCCCAACGTTATCATGGAATGCGCCGGTCGGGCTCTTAGCTTCTGGGCTTACCAGACTACGCAAGACATTTATTACCAGCAGTATTTATACAAAACCCTGACCGACAAGTACTCAAATCTCAGTATCCGTCTCGAGAAGACTGTGAGCGACGCTAATTCAGAGATCGAAGGTCTTCACCACAAGTTGACAAGTTAGTGCTCTACTCGTCTCAATTTGGCGTCCATTCACCTGACATAGAGCAGGTCTAGCAGCAGAACAGGATACTCTGCGGCGCAAGAATGACGAAATCTCTCGGGCCTATAAAGACAAAACTCGCAAGGTTCTACAGTTACAAGAACTCTACGACAAAGTCAAGAGAAAGGCTGAGCTTGGTCAGATTCAGAGGGCAGCATCTGATGCTGTTGACTCAACATTACAAACAACCCAGATCGACCCAGGCTATGGTATTGGCTTACCTACACAAAGCCATGCTGATAGTAACCCTCCGCCGGCCTTTAGCCAGAGTCATCGCATTGATATCTCAGGAACGAACACCAGCCTCCCACGAAACTATACAAATATGACAAGAGAAGGAACCCATTGGCCACGACTTGGAGGGTCGTCCCACCGTGAGCATTCATTTCACCTACCGATGGTACTTGCTGACGTATGACAGGCGATACATCAGAAGCCCCTGTTGGTGGCCTCCGTCGATCTGGCATCAACGCAACATCAGTACACCAGGCGACGGCATTGCCAACTCTTGCAGGAACCCCAGTACCAAGTTTTGGTGGTACAAGGCAGTCTGCAAACACGTTTGCTCCAGGCTTCACCCATCATCGGGGTAGTCTGGCAGGTGTTGGACTAACATCCGGTATCAAAGTCAGTCAAGCGAATAACCCACCAGCATTGGATATGCCCTCAAGGCATCTATGAGATGAATAGGACAGTAAAAATGGGGCCTCATTCAGCGCATCAAGTTTCTGGCGCTCTCTTCCGACGCTTTGTTCTAAAGACCTGCATTAGTGGTAGTACCTAATGCCATAGAACAAAGGAGGGGGATTTCAATAGTTATTTTGCCTTTCATGTACTCAACAATGTTCTGGTATGGCGCTTTGTTCACACTGATAGAAAATCCGTTCGATCAATGGCTATGATGAGAACACAGTGACTGTTGGGAAATTGTATATGCATTTTCAGTACGTCATGACTGAATCGTAGACATTAAAAGCAGCAACTTCCACAGCATTCTGGACTCGATCTCCTCGTCTCTTTAGGGAGAACAACACTTGTTTGAAACATCATATACTTTTGCCGGAGCTGATCAAACATGCAAGATAGTTTCATCGCTAGAATCAAATGGCAAACCCAACTGGCACTGGGTTTACCGTCATCTGAGCCCTCACGCTCGAGAGATGGAGGGAAACCTAGGCAAATATTCACGCGCATCAGGGAGAAAACCAGGGAATGGCACAAGCTGAGAAGGGCTAGGGGTAAAGTTGAGAATCTACGAGCACAGTATCTCGCTGAACAAGCCAACAGCCAAGGTCAAGGGTCGCCTACGATCACCATGTCACGTCCCGCCATGGAATTGCAACGGCTTCCATCTGCACGAGCTGAGCTACCAGGTGACGACACATATATACATTCCCGGGAGCCATTTGAGCGAAGTCAGTCAGCGCATCAGCATGAAGCCCTTGGTTCTCATCCAGTTGTCATCCCTGATGACTCTCATCAGGCCGGGCAGAACGGCGATTTCATTATTGTTTCAGACCCTGTGCTCAATAATGAGAAGGGTCCCAATCACCAACACGGAGACACATCGCCTGCACAGAGAGAAGGAGCTGTTGAATATGAGCGGTATCTCAAGATACTGGTGGGTGAACCCTGTGTTTCTCAACCTCAGATATGTCCAAGTCATGTCGCCCACGATGATAATGAAATTCTTCGACTCGAGACACGCATACAGACAATCCGAAGAAACTGCGAACAGCTAACGGAAATCAGAACGGAGCTAGAGCAGCAAATACTCATAGCGAAACAGTTTGCCTCCAAGCTGTACTGCCAAACACATGAATGGGAGTTTTGGAGTCCAGTTCCAGAAGATCCCATTCCCCTGCTGCAGGTCTTAAAAGGACTTCAGACGACCATGCTATGGATGCAAGCCCGCATTCAGTGGTACGAGAGAAAGTACCCTGGACTTCGTGAGCAGTACAACACTCATACGGGGTTGCTGAACAAAGCCTCCAATGTGATGAGGCTGGAGGATGGTGGAGCGTAGCTGGGCTACGCTGGCATAGATCGTTCTTAATATCGAGATAGATTAAGTTGGTTTTTTTTGTTTGGGATATTCCTTGAGGTCTTCTTTCTTTATATATACCTTTCTCTCTTTTCTTTTTGTCTTGGGTTATATCTTGGTTACTATTTCCTTTATTTCATTATATTTTTTCCTCTATATACGAGTGGTTATCGAGGACAGGCAGGAACAGGTTATTTCTATCCATACATAGATGGGTATCCGGGCGTACTTCATGTTTCATGAGTATAGGAGGTTATAGATTGCAATGAGGGAATGTGTATAAAGATGATACGTTTAAGTATAAGTAGATATATATGTAAGGATATATTTCTTCTGAAATAGAGTGTGGCTATGGGATGTCATTCGGTCCATCAAATGAGACTGCAAGTGAGTGTGATCAATTCGCGACAATGTTCGTATCGAACCTCACCTCATGCGGAGTCTATTCTTAGACAGTGGGTCATAACTTTCACGTGATTGAATGCTTAAAGGTGGTATGGCCGCGTATGCACTATTGACGCCATTCCGCATACAAATTCCAGCGAACCAACAGAATCGAAGCAATGCCCCCTGTGTTTTTGTTTTCGTCCCTTTCCCCCTTATCATCTTATCAACGGCCTTATCAAGAATCACCAGCTGTCCTACTGTGCCATGCGCAATAATCCAATCATTTCGACCCCAAATCCACTTGCCGTCTCGTGTCTTCGTCGAATCCTTGTCGGACTGCATCCTCGCTAACCCTCTTTTGGTCTTCTTCACTTCTGCGTCCCTGTCATTGTTGGAATCTTGTTGTACGACTCTTGTTTGCAACTTTATATCTCCAACTTCCACTCGCTTACGCATCCGGATGATGCTCGACACTCGCTTCACCTGCTAGACCTACCTATTCAACGACATCTTTTTGGGGCCGGCCCTTGGTTTAATCTCGATCCATCTACTCGACGCTCTTGCCATCGTCAAAATCGAAACATCATCAACTTCGCTCAATTGGGGATCCGCCCCGTATCGCAACATCACGAAACGTCGCATAACGGTAGAAACAGCTCGTCCAACGCCGATTGCGGTCGTACATCTCGACAAGAACATTCGCGCCGACGAAATAAGTGACGCCAACCCATAATCAATTTGCTCCGCCCTTATCGTCGCCTGTGCAGCTTTTAGAACTGTGCAACCTTTAATCATCTGCCCTAATGGGTAAATCATGTTGGTAATCGCCTTCTTGTTGGCAGACTTTGACTGACAGCTGTGTCCCATACAGCACAATATGGCGTCATTCTTGACGCTGGCTCCTCAGGGACTCGAGTATACATCTACAAGTGGAAGAACCATGCCAAAGCTGCAAAAGATGCGTCTGCTGCCGAGCTCAAGTCTCTCCCCAAGATCAAGCTCAAGGAAAACAAGAAGATCCATCCTGGCGTTTCGAGCTTTGCAGAGAAGCCTGCGCAAATCGGTCCCGATCATTTGCAGCAGTTGATTGATATCGCCCTCGATGAAGTCCCCGATAGCAAGATTTCCGAGACCCCCGTTTACCTCATGGCAACTGCCGGCATGCGATTGCTACCGAAGCCTCAGCAGTCAGCACTTCTCAAATCAATGTGCACGTACCTGCAGTCGGCTACGAAATTCATTCTCCCGGATTGCGATGCCCATATTCAAGTTATCTCTGGCGAAACCGAGGGCCTATATGGCTGGATAGCAGCAAATTATTTGCTGGGCGGCTTCGATCATCCTGAGGAACACGATCATGGCAAGAATCATCACACCTACGGCTTCCTCGATATGGGTGGCGCATCCGCTCAGATTGCCTTTGCTCCAAATGCAACTGAATCCGCAAAGCATGCGGATGATTTGAAAATAGTGCGCATGCGAACACTCGACGGTTCACCATCAGAATACAAAGTCTTCACTGCAACCTGGCTCGGATTTGGTGCTAATCAGGCCCGCAGCCGTTATGTCGAACGTCTGCAAGAACACTACAACACTGACTCCACGCATGAGCTGCCTGACCCCTGTATGCCTAATGGCTTACGAACTACTCTGGACGGTGAACTTGTTGGATCAAAGTCGGATAAGACCGTTTTGGTTGGTACAGGAAAGTTCGACGAATGTTTGAGGGTGACCTATCCTCTACTGGGCAAAGACAAGCCATGCGAAGATCAGCCCTGTCTTGTCAACGGCCAGCATGTACCCGGCATCGACTTCGATATCAATCACTTTGTTGGTGTTTCGGAATACTGGCATACAACTCATGGTGTCTTTGGCGGAAAACACAAGGCTTACGATCTGGCGACATATCAGAACAATGTCATGGAATTCTGCAGTCGCGATTGGTCGGACATTGAGGGTGATCTTGATAAACGCAAGAAATCACCAGAAAAGAAGGCAGCCGAGGCCCGTTTGGCTTGTTTCAAGGCCTCATGGCTGATTAATATGCTCTATGACGGGATTGGCATTCCTCGAGTTGGTCTCGAAGGTGGTGCGGCCAACGACACCATTAAGGACGATGGCGAAAAATCATTCAACGACCCTTTCAAGCCGGTGGACACAATCGATGGTATCGAATTAAGCTGGACTTTGGGCAAAATGGTCCTGTACGCCGCTGGGCAGGTTCCTCCATCGGGCTCCGAGCTGCCTGTCGGCTTTGGAAGCAATGTGGATAAGGGGATAGCGAAGGATTTTGAGCACGCTGGTTCTTCACCTATCGCTCCTCACACTGGGGATGACGATGACGATGATGACCTGGAAGATCTTTTGAAGAAGCCTGGAAAGTCAACCGGTGGACTTGTCGCATTTGTTCTGATTATTCTGCTGGCGGCCTATTTGCTTCGCAAGCCAGAGCGAAGACGAAAGATATTCAGCATGGTTAACCGGCGAAAGCGATCAGGGAAACCAGGCCGCGGTTCCTCTCTTGTCCACAAGCTCTTCGGTCGAAACTCGGGGCCATCTTATGAGAGAGTAATGGAGGAGGGTGACTTCTCTGATTTTGAGTTGGGCGATGTTGATTCGGATGAGCACGACCATTCGGATAGCAGTAGTAATGGTTCGCGAAAGGGACGAACATCGGGTCTAGCAACACCTAGTATCTCTGCAGGCCGCGCGGACGAGCTTACTCGCCCTCCGTCAGCAATGGATCGTGCTGGGCTTGTAGTGCGGACTGAAAGTCGAGAACGCCTATCGCCCTCACTATTGAGTGCTGGCCGAAAGAGCCGCAACGGCAGCCCAACTCGTGCGAAGAGTCCATTCATGTCACCTGTACAGGAAGATTGAGCACTTTACCATGGATAAATGATTCATGGGACGTATTAATGCGAAATTTGTATATATCTGGTTCTTTTTGGGGGGTCAACATCACGGCGTCAGGGAGTCTGTGAGAACGGGAGGAGCATTAAAGACATGGCGTTCAAAAGAACGCATATACCATAAAACAAGGGTCGTGGCAGTCATTGATCTGTTGGTTGAGTTTGGCGACGAAATTGGAGTCTCTCTTGGATATCACACTACGTTATTTGCTTAAAGCTTCTGGGAGTGTTTCACAATGGTGTTTTTCGGTAGGGGCTTACGCTCAGTTGTGCGAATTGGTATTCTATTAATCAATTTTGTCAGTCGCTCAAAGTGCTTTTGTCTTGCCCTTTTGTAACAGTCCCTCCTAAAACCATGCCAAAATCGCCGTTTCGCCGGTGAAGATATTCCCCGCCCGATTCCTATGCACCTTGAAGCTCTGGATATGCATTTCGAGATACCCGTCAGCCAACCCTAATCTGACTGTTTCTCCAGGAAGCTGGGATCTGCCCGGACTCTTGATTCAAACTTGCGCCACCAGTTTTCAAAGGCTTTGAGCGGCACAACCTCAACACCGCCAGGTCCTGCTGTACCGCTAAAGCTTGATAGAAAGTTGAACGCGTTTTGGATGATGCGTTGTGCGAGAATAGCCGTACTGGGCTGGCCGCCTGGTGAGTTGCCAGACTTAGTGGCAGCGAGCTCTTGTAAACGCTGGCCAACAGACTCTTCTGGCTCCACTGACACTCCAATGACTAAATCGCTGGCCTCTCCTCCACCGCTGACCTTGAACATGGCGCTCTCCTTTCCAGGGCCTATACCTCCAAGGAAACGGAAGTTGGGTGTGCCGCCTGACTGAGCTGCTGCTGCGACATCGGCGGCTGTTGCCAGGTAAATTGCTGCGGCAGTGCTCGGTGGAAGAGTTATGCCTGGTAGCATAAAGACAACAATATGTGAGAAGTGTTTTGTGGTGGGGAGAGCGTAGAGTAGTGAGGTTGGCGAGGGGGTTGAAGAAGGTTCTGTGATGAGTGGTTGGCCCGCAGGGACGATGCCAAAGAGTGGGCTTGACATGATGAGACTAATAATATAGAGATGAGTAAGATATAGTTAATCGTGAGATCATATGTTGAAGATTTGTTTGTAACCAGGGACGGGAGCGAAGGCTGTGGTGAGTTCTTTGTATAAGGGTCCAGGCAATTGTTTTGAGTTTGTTCAGCCCTTTGCCGTTGTTTCGCTGGTAGTGTGAAACGATTGGCGGGTGTTTCGAGGGTAACCTAGAAACAAGTGGAATTCTGGTAGCAATCTGATCAGCAGTGACCTCATATAGCCAGTTCCCTTGGATTCTCCACAGGGGTCTTTAGGGTAGGGGACATTGCATGCCAAGTCGACCCTTGATGTTTCGATACGGTGTGACAGAAGTATTAAAGATTCGGACATAATGTATGAGACTAAAGACATAGGAAAGGTTTCCCTTAACCTTCTAAGATACTTGGAAGTGTATCTAGAGCCAATGATTCTGGGGTACAATGGAGGACGTACTTGGTTACCAAACTTGGTCTCACCGAGGACTTACGAGCGTGGGGCTACTAACATGACATAAGTATCTCGTCGCTGATCCGGTGAAAGCAACTTAGGTCCTGAAATAGCTTCACCGAGAAGCCCGGGCAAAATAACAGCCGGAGCTCCATATCATAATCACTCCTGAAGAGCATACATTTCGAGGGTAGGTGCTTGCTCTGCCGATCTCGCATATAAATCAACGTTGGAAAAAGCCCGCAACTTCATCAACTTCCTACTGCAAACACCAGTTCCTCAACATTTACTTTATCATCTCCCTATTTATCTATCTTTTCCTGCATCAAGATGGCCAAAACAAGCATCGATCTCATCGATGAGGTCGATATGTATGATCCCGAAATCACTTCTATTCCAGTGTAAACGTAACTCATCTTTGAAGGTTCCCGTATGCCGAGACTGATCCCGATGCGTTCACCAAGATGAATGCTGGGCTCTATGCTCTGGTATGGAGAGATAGCCAAGGCACATACCCTATTGGGTACATCCTGGACCGTGTGGTCAAAGAGCTTCATCAGGTCCCTGAAGAGGTCGGGGGGAAAATGGAATGCGATGATGAGAAGAAAACTATTGCGCTCTTCCAGGAACCTACAGAGGAACAACGTACTCGTCGCGTGGCGGCCCTGGCCGACTATTGGCGGAAGAATGGGACATTCCCTCTTCTCCGTGGCTGGCGTAACGAACTATGGCCTGTATACGGACGTACTGGCGAGCTATTATTCAGCATGGAACGAGCTGCGATGGGCTTGATTGGTACGATGCGTTACGGCGTTCATATGATTGCGTATGTCAAGGACGAGACTGCACCTCATGGAGTTCGCCTCTGGGTCCCTACGCGTGCTCGGAACAAATCAACATTTCCCAGCATGCTCGACAATACCGTGGCAGGCGGTTTAATGACAGGAGAGGACCCCTTCGAATGCGTCATACGTGAGGCCGATGAGGAAGCCAGTCTTCCTGATGACATTGTTCGCAAGGGTGCCAAGTTCGTCGGCAACGTCACATACATCTACATCACGGACGAGGGACAGGTTGGCGAAGGCGGCTTTATTTATCCTGAGTGCCAATGGGTGTACCATCTCGAGCTTCCCAACGATGTGATCCCTCAACCCAAAGATGGCGAGGCTGAGAAGTTTGACCTCTGCGACGTTGATCAAGTCAAGGCGGATCTTGCCGGGGGTCGATTCAAGCCCAATTGTGCCCTCGTCACCCTCGACTTTTTCATTCGTCATGGAATCCTCACTGACGAAAACGAGCCTGAGATTGAGCAGATCAAACGGAGAGTGCGCCGAGACATCCCTTTCCCAGGTCCGCATCAAAGCAATTGGCGCCCACTGTGATTTCGATATACCAGGCTCGCGGAGACGAGTCATGGTATTTGACTTTGAGACTTATCGGAGGCAACATGGCGGTTTTCGTATGGGTATCATTAATGCGACCGAAAGCTAGTGGTAACGCAAAAGCCCGTATTACTGGCGAGGAGCTATAGTCTAGATAAATAGACAATTTTAGGAACTTCAAATTATTTCTTGACAAGCAGATAGACGTTATCGACACGGAGGGGAGTCAGCTTCTTGATAGGGCCTTGAAGCGACATCAAAAGACCGCCGAAGGAGCAGTAGGCATTGCTGTAGGTCAAATTCAGTTAGCAAACTTGGTTTCCAGACCCAGTGACATGGGGGCTTCATGTAAGAAACGCACATGGTGTTTCCGTCGAATGTCTCTTCGAACTTGTAGATCTTTCCATGACACACGTAGTCGTAAAGGTCGGCAACCGTCGCTGGCGCATCACCACCCTTGCCAACGTCTCGCCAGCCCTTCTCGTCCTCCTTGCTTCCGTCCAGAGAGAGAGTAGTAGACAAAACTACGTGCAGAGTGTCGGAAACAGCACAGGGGAAGAGCTCGATGTTGATATCCAGAGTCATAACAGTCTGAGAGTCGCTTGAAGTGCATGAAATGCGGGCGACACGGTCATACTTGGACTGATCATACTCAGTCACGGTGAATGATTCTTCAAAGAGAGTAGCGTCGCCGCTCGCCATGTTGGGCAGTCGAGAAGAAGACGGAAGAACGGTTAGCTTAGGTTATCTTGCGGGAGGAGGAGGGCGAGTGCTGTGTATCGTTATGGTCTTCGCGCTGTCCTTTGTATCAAAGAAGAGAAAATGTTTGGATGCGGCTCGGAAAAAGTTGGTGGATACTTAGGTACCTCAGACTGCAGGTGGGGCACACACAATACTGATATCACTCGCTATCACGGCCAGCTTTTTCCATATATCGAAAAGAAATATATATATAAATAAAAAACACCCAGCAACTCACACACGAAAGGCAAAGACCATGTCTTTTCGCAAGCGTAATGTCGTCATTGGAGCTGCTGGGTCTTCATCTCCCATCGTTCGACAAGAGAAGTCTCTTGCACCTGGGACAAGACCATCTCCATTAGATGGACGTTTGACAACCTCAACAGGCACACAGTCTTTGGATCAGCTCTTGTCAGGTCATGCTGGAATCCCAATGGGCACTTCCTTGCTCGTTGAAGAGACAGGAACTACGGACTTTGGAGGAGTGCTTTTGCGATACTATGCCGCCGAAGGACTTGTCCAAGGACATCAAGTTCACCTCTTGGGATTTGGCGATGCTTGGAGAAGAGAGCTTCCTGGTCTTGGAAGTCCTGATGGCTCTAAGAAGAGCAGCAAGCCAACCTCATCATCGGACGAAAAGATGAAGATTGCTTGGCGTTACGAGACACTCGGACAGCGCAATGTTCCAGTCAGAGGTATGCTCTGTCCGCTCCCTTCAAGGACAGAATGTTGACCTGCGAGTTAGATTCCCAAGCACCGACGACTCCCGGACAGACACCGAGTACGTTTTGCCATGGTTTCGACCTGACCAAGCGTCTTGAGAACAGTGTCATCAAGGGCCAGCTTCACACGACCCCAGTGGAAGGTCCCTTGACATCTCCAACAAACACGCCTTTCCACAAGTTCATTACCGATTTGTCCTCCAAAATCAAGAACTCGCCACCTTCTACCGTTCATCGGATCGTGGTACCCAGCCTCCTCTCGCCTACACTGTACAATTCTGCTGCCAGTCAACCCAAGGAGGTCCTCGAGTTCCTCCATGCTTTGAGAGCACTTCTTCGACAGTACTCAACCCAGGTCACGGCATTTGTGACTATTCCAGTTACTTTGTTCCCTCGTTCTACAGGACTAACACGGTGGATGGAGTTACTATCTGATGGAGTTCTCGAGTTGATTCCTCTACAACACCAAGCTCCAGTTGTTCGGGAGCCCGGCAATGAAGACAAGGGCCAAGGACTACTGCGTGCCCATAGCTTACCCGTGTTCCATGAAAAGGGCGGTGGCCTGGAAGGTACCTGGAACAGGGAAAACCTGTCTTTCAAGCTGAGCAGTTCCAGTGGGCTGGTAATCACACCCTTTAGTCTACCACCGATTGGAGACGAGGAAGAGCCAAGCAAAGGAACCAAGCCCAACGATCACAAGAAGGAGACATTGGATTTTTGAAGAGGGGCCATTTCAAGGATTGAAGTGATTGACTGACCCGGTCTCGTGAGGCTGGCCTTCACTCTCAAAGTTCAGGACTCTTATCTTATCTTTCACCCTGACCCCACTCGCCTAAAAATTTTATCACCTAAAAGCAGCTCCAAGCTCTCAACCTTCCTTCCCTTCTTTCTTCTGATCAACATCAACAATCTCAAAGGTATGTCAGAACCATTTCTTTCTCGCCATTTCTTCACGCGACTCGGACACAATGATTATACACTTATTAATCTGTCAATCCCCTGATTTTCTGTGACGACACACAATAAAATTACGAAGACGACTTATGATGTTGTCCTTTTCACACTTGTTTTTGCTCGCTATACTCAGACGAAGCATCCGCTAACTCGCAATGCTTCGATAGATACCATGGCTTCTTTAGATCCAGCCCCTGTTCGGATATCCAAGATCGCTGGGCGATATCTCATCTTCGATTCTGAAGCAGCTGCCTTCTTGCGTCGGAGTGAGAATATCAACGGTACTCTTGCCGGAACGGCGCCTCAGCAACCGACTCAGAATATCTTTCTCGGTCTTCCAATTGAACTTCGACCGGAGGAGGCTGAATCGCTATTGCATAAGAATGTGGCTTATCTTGTAGACGACGTAGCTGTTCACCAGGCTGTTCTCCACAATCCCAACACAGAGGCGAGGAGGCTATACCTCGACTCGCTTAGGACAAGAAAGCAGACAGCACAACAAGTTATTGCTGAAAAGAATGCCAAGAGGGTTGCAGAAGGGGCAGTGAAGCGTGGGAAATCCCGTCTTGTGCCCCCTAGCAATACAGACGACGACATCATCACCACTAGTGAAACTAAACCCGCCGTACATCAGCAGCAATCTGCTATCAAATCTCTGGGCGTCACCCCGACATCCAGTGGGTTGCTGATTTCTCCAGAAGCTGACCGGATATACCAGGCCACTAACCCTTTACAAGGCCCTTTGTGTGGCTTTCTGCTTACTTCTGGTTACTATACGACTCCTGGTCTTCGCTTTGGTGCCAAGTATAGTGTTTATCCAGGCGATCCCTTGAGGTTTCATGCCCATTTCATGGCAAACCAGTATGAATGGGAAGAAGAGATTCCCGTGTTGGATATCGTAGCAGGAGGCCGCCTCGCCACAGCTGTGAAGAAGGCGTATTTGATAGGGGCACAACAGCCACTAGCGAACGGATCACGGGATGACCAAGAGATGAGAACCTTTAGTATCGAATGGGCTGCGATGTAAAAGCTCAATATAATAGATGCTGTGCCGAACATATCCTGACAAGATGATTTGAGTCAAACGTGAAAGTCCTTGACCATTGTGAATTCATGCCACCAACTCCCGAAAATGAAACAACGCAAATGAGTGGAACAAAGGCTAGAAGTACTTAATTACAGAAAACAAACCATTGTCGATTCCCTTAATCGTGTGTTTGCAGGAGCTCAGGGGACGAAAACGCGGCTGAAGCTGATAACCTCCCGGCGGCAACAGACGCATTTGTCAAAGTTGTTCATAGCAAGAGAGACACGGCAATCGTCACATAGACTCAGGCAACGACAAGGCCAGACAATAATGGTCCTAGGTGAGCTTTGACACACCACGCATTGCGGACCATCGCTTCCAAAACCCGATCCGCCATTTTCCCATGATGTCTCGGAACATGCGGCAGATGCAAAGGCTTGCCGCCGTGATAACAAAAGTTGTTCCAGAAGACGCTCCTCTTCGTCAGGGTCTAACTTGGTGCTACGACCCGGTTGCATGATGTCGGCTTTTGGCTGTAGCAGGCCAGATCCCGGGGAGGCCAACACTCGGGTGCGTTGCAATTGCTCCATTCGCCGGTATTTGGCGCGTGTCATGATACCATCGCTCTGGAGGTGGGCAGACAAGGTCATGGCCTCCTCACGCTCTTCAGGGCTTGTGGGATGCAGAAGGCGTGCTAGATCGGATATTTGCATAGGAGTGTCATGGAAAGGCGTACTCTCGCGACTGATTTGAGGGGATCGTTGGGTAGGTGTTCGTTGGCCGTCGTCATTCCCATCTTCTGACTCCCATGCTTGATAATCATCCACTCCATCACCGGTAGTCGACATAGAGACGACGCTTGTAGTGTCAAAGTCATCATCTGAATGAGGTTCAAAGTCACCGCTGGAATCGGCAGATCCCCACCAGCCGTTTTTCACCCAATATTTATATAGGTCCCTGTCTAGGCTCTCCTCGTCTTGGTCGTTGCCCACACGCCTAAACTCGGCTTCTATGTCTGCCGTCTCCTCTTTCGGTATGCGTCCATCATTATATGAAGCTGGTCCTCTTGGTCGTGGCTGATTGCGACTCGAGCTTTTGCTCTGGCTGTCCATGCTTTTTGGGTGCTGGGCAAGCCAAAGGAGCCACGCCGGCTGATATCGGATCCGGAGAGTCGCAAGACACCATAACAAAGACTTGGCGCTAATTCTTGCAATAAGTTTGTTAATACTGAGTAGAAACTCCAGTGCCATAAGCCAACGAGAACTCCTTTCAGACGCGCCAATGCCCGCACGAAGGTTGCGCTCGCTGCGTCCTTTTGGGATCTTCTGAGCAGCACGTTCGCGGGCGTACCCATTGGATGCAATTGCTGGCCCCCCTTTCACCGGAATCAAACCGATTGCACCGATCTGATCATATCGCGAGTCGGGCAAGCCCCCGCCACCACCGATTAGTTTTCTTTGCAATTCCTCGGCCTCCTTAAACCGTTGCTCTTCCAGCCAGGTGCGTCGTTTTAGACTGATCCCTTTGTCCTCATTCAAGTAGACAGCTTCACTAGCCATAGTGATAGCGCCAAACCCAGTTCGTAGTAGAGCCGTGTAGAAGTCCATTTCTCGAGTGATGCGAATGGAAGAGAGCGATACGTTCGCCTGCATGTTTTCGTGGGCATGAATGAGACGCTGACGAATGGTCATCGAAGCTATGTCTGATGTCGAAGGGGGGGAGAAAGCTGAGAGGAGCAGAGCCAGCCCGTATATGAACAGGCATATAGCGATACCTAGTAGAACAAGGACATGTGGCACAAACCCTATGATGCAAACAGTTGGAAATCTCAGTAGACTCTGAGAGGATGGATTGTCGAGGTCAAAGGAGATGGCTGCCCATACAATGCTAGCCATAAAGCAGAGGCCCCAGAATCCCGTGCTGATTAGTCGGTACTTGGCTTGCAGGTTGAAGATGCCCAGAACATGGCTCGTAATATGTGTCATCGAAGATAGCAAGGCAACGAGGAGAACTTCTGGTGACGTGTTGACCCTTCTCATAACCATTGATCGAGTCAGAGCTATAGCATTTCCAAGCCCTGAGGCTGGGGCATCAGCAGAGCTTGTTTTAGTGAAGAGGTTCCAACCAAGCTGGTTACTGATGGCAGCATCGGCCTCTGCAAACGCGAGAGACTGTTCAAAAAGTGTCATACCTGTCTCCGGGGCAACGGGACGGCCCTGGACGGCACAGGAAACGGTCTCAAGGAACTGGCTCAGACAGAATGTTCCGAACAAAGGCCACAGCAGGGACAAAGATCCGGTCAGATTACGAGCAGAGCCAGATTCATCCGACGGTATCATGCGAACGGCAATACAAGATTGTTCATCGGAGGCTGAGAAGAGTAAAATTGAACTCAGAGAGTTGAGAAAAGCGTTCCGGTGTGAGAACATCAAGTCTGAGCTTTTGCTTGCGTTGCCCCATCGTAGTTCGGAAAAGTCGGGTGAGGTCTGACACTGAATAGATTGAAGTAACTGGCGCGCTTGTATTACCAACAAGACGATGGGAACGAACCGTAATAAGAGTCTTGTGGGCCATCGCAAGCGTAGTCGTCGTCGAGTGGCAGCAAATATGTGTGTTCGGTTCAGTATGACTGCCATAGCTATACAACACAAAGCCCACTTGCTGGTGGCATATCCAAAGACACTGCCCAAGCTACGGACACTGTCGACGGGCACCCGTCCTATGGAAGCAGTGGCCGCTGTCTCAGGACCCCCTGCACCTAACAAAGGCTCCATTATGTTCTGAATAGTTGGATCGGCCTCAGCAAGTATGGTATTCGCGCCGACTACTGCTGGTATGTAATTCGAATTGTCGGTCGTCGTCTCGAGATGTTCGGGCACAGAAATGTAAGATCCGAGTTTCTTAACGAATCGCGGACCAGCCCAGACAAGGTCCTCTAGTATAGGCGCATAGCGTGTCACATTGACAGTCCAGACAGCAGGATTGTACCACGGACCAGATGCATTGGCAGCACCGAACCCTGTGTTGGTTGTGAAGCTGGTGAGGGGTGATGGCGCGGAGGGTACGAACTCATCGGCCATGGCCTAAGGAGAACTATCGGGCACGAAGTTGTCGGAAGAGAAGGCAAGTTAGGAAAATGAAGGCTGCAGAATAAACGTATCGGTCGTAGGAGCGTTATTTTGATAACGAGTCACTGGGTTTCGCCGAGGACATTGTGAAGTGTCCTTGTTTGAAGCGTGGGTTGTTGGTCTGGGGAAGCGATAATGAGGCAAGGCACTGAGCGACCTCAATGTTGACATCGAGGTGGAGGTGGTAACATGCGGAAACTATGGGCTATCGATGTACCTGCCAGGTCGATACAAAGCCCAGACTGAGTTGGATTCAAGGACACTAGCGCGTCCTTTGGGGCCCACTGTAGCGACCAAACAGCTGTAGGGGTGCATGCACAGTCATGCACAGTGCCATTAGAAGGACGAGATGTACCTACCTCAGGTACCCTGCAATCACTCACAAGAAGTGGTCCCGATTTCGGCGCCAGGCCAGGGGTAGTAACTCTTGTTGGTAGCTTCAAGCAATGGCGTAGGGTAACTACGCTCAATTCTGGCAAATATGATATTGAAACTTGCTCACAGTGATCCGGGAACTCTCATCATCTCATCCTTTCACGCCCGCTGGATTAGTTTTTTGAACAGCGTATGACACTACATCAAACGAGCCGAAGTCCTGTTGGGTCCAGGATTTTCTATCAGGCACTGCAGGGAAAGGTCCAAAGGTTGGTAATCTGGATAGGAGGCTCAGGGGTATCTTTTTATTTAGATAATTCTGCTTGGCTCTTGATGTCTGAACTTTCCCGACAGATTGTCTATCTCCTTTCCCTTGCCTTTATTCTTAACGATGTTTTATGATATATCTAAAAGAAGATCAATTGTCCTGTTCATCTGAAAGTTGTGTCACACGGACCCATTTTGAGTCAGGACTATCCAGAGAGTGGCCAAAGAAAGCCCATGGCATGCGTGTATAAGGCGAAGGAATTCAGTAGTACTGTCTTCATCAAGTACAGCGGAATCAAGAAGCTGGCGCTTTTTAGTCGACATAGCCCATGATGGTATCGTTCGATGGAACGCCAGGAAACACCCACGAAGTTGTGTAATATGTTGACCCACTATCCAATCAACCCGTGATGACCGATTCCTTGAGGGATGTAGCTACTGCAAGGTTGGCTCCCTTGCTTGCATGTACAGCACGGGCGACGAGGTCTCGATGCAGATTCGCGTCTGATGAGGGCAAACTTCCTTTCAGCCAGAGATTTGTGATTTCGTCCCGGGAGGGGAGATAGGCTACACAGCAAGCTGCGAGGATATGTGAGTGTTCAGAAGGAACTGGATCGAGCACCATGATGGGTTCATCATTGTCCGGTCCAGGCACCAAAGCCGCAACACCTCCAGAGACAGTATCGACACTGTCAATACCAGCATCCGCGAGCGCGGCTGCGGCAACAGTGATACAGCCGCTAAGCACGTTCATCATGTCCCATTCCTCGCTTCCCTGTTCCACAGCTACCTGACGGGCTTGATCTCCTTCGATAATGGTGACGACTACATCCACTCCACTCTTGGGCCAACGGTCTGCAATGAGGGCGCCCCTTAGAGCTGCTTCGAGATGTGTGCTCAAGTCACGCTCAGTGGAATCGCGTAAATAACCCCTTCTTTGACGTGTTGCAAAAGGTGCGTATTTGACATGTGTGGAAAGGACCATGTGAGGGGAGAAGGGCGCTGATCGAGGTAGAGATCTAGGCCCATGGACAGTGCATGAAAGTTTCATGCCCCTACTACTAGAATCTTGCTGTGATTCAATTTCTAGGTACGCCGAGCCAGAAGCGGATGGGGTTACCCCAGTTTGCAAATCTAGTCAAATGATATCAGTCCACACTTCACAATAGACGACTTCAAGTTGCTTTGAGATGGGCTAGAACTCACATTGTGACCTAATACCATTTGGAGCGCGAGTCCGAGTGGAAACAGCAAACTCATCGGCTTCAAAAACAGGTGCCACTGTGACACTCCCAGGGCCATTAATGCGTCGTCGGTCCGCCATTTCGATAAGTATTCTTTGTCTCCAAGATCTCTCAACTTGAGGTATGGATTTTACCTGGAGTGGATTGAAATTCATCGATGCATCAAACGGGGCGCTACGCCGCTTAGTCATCAATGGCTCCATCTTCTCACCCTTCAAATTTTCTCGTGGGCCTGCTTCGAGAGCTCTAAACTTTCTCTTCTTCATACATCGAGAGCCGGCTTTTCGTCAACAAGTGCCTTCGACAGCCAAAACAGACATGATTTTGGTTGTTTTGTTCAAACATGTCGTGGCGTAACTTGAATCGTCAGCCAGGCTCCTCGACGATGCTGATTTTACGAGGTACGTGATGCGCCGCCGCGTTTTTACACACGCGCAACGATGATCCTTCACACCACTGTTCCCGCGAAACCTGAGCGATTGAACAACATGCACTACCATCTGAGCACCATTCGTTACTTCTTCTTTCATATGATACCGGTGATGGTATAATGCTAACATCACAAAAGACTTCAGTTCTCTTGCTACCACCTTCAATAACCAGGTGTGAAAACCACACACAAGGTCAGTCGAATTTTTCCTTTTCACTCCTCAAGCACAAGCCCTTTCCGATGTCGATGATGAGAAAACCTTTCATTCAGTTCTGCTACTGAACCACTGTGATGACTCCCAATTACCAAACCAAGATCTCTGATACACATCTTACTCTTCTCTTTCAATATTACCGCCGCTCGTTTCGATCCCAAGCTAACTATCAAATAAGTACTAAGTTATCTAGTTTCTTCCCTTTGGAGTCTTGCCCAACTTTGTTTGGCTTGAGCTCGGTGCTTTTCGAACTATTGGTAAGTACATTACGAAGCTTCAAGCGCAAAGGAGCTGTGTTGCATGATGACACAAGTTCTATCCATTCAACGACTTCTTCTTGACCAAGTCACCCTCCCGCACCGTAGGCTTTCTAAGAGAGTCGATGACTGGTTGTGGAGTTGCTCTCTCGAGTGTTGTGAAGACTCCAGTGTTCGGGCTGCTGGTAGCTCGTTTTGGGTTAACAGTATCCTGGGCCGGTCGAGATGACTGAGTAAACCGGCTTGTCTGACTATCACATGCTCCTTTGCTTTTCTACCATCTTCGTCCGATTCTAGCCATGGCTTTGAACAATAGCTAACGGGTGTAGATTCCTTGTACTGATCAGTGCCCTCAGCATTTTGCACAGGCTTATGCTAAATCGACAGTGCGGTAAGTTTTGGTATATGAATGTAATGGTTCTCTTCATAGTGATAAATAAATATTCCGTTTCAACTGCAACTTTTTTCCTCGTGCATGTTGCTCGAATTTTCAGGTGCTTCAAAATTCGAGTTGGCTTGCCAGTTGTGATATCAGTAAAGTCTGTGGAAGATGTCTGAACGAATGGGACTGATGTTGATGAGAACCAAGAAATTGTCATGCCTCACTTCTTGAATACTTCTCATTGACTGCTTCATGCAACTATTTCTGCCTATGGGTAGTCTTTCATGATAACTTGTACTTGGGCGCTTGAATCAGTTGAAGATGGCTCTCCATAAATACATACCTCTGATGATGTGTGGTTAATCTGTAGCTATTCAGGTTCGTATTGTAATCTGACAAGATCTCATTTTTAGAAACAGGCTGTGTGGATCGTATTGGCGTTCAGAATGGCCAACTCAATCTAGCCTCCACTGTCTCAAACGAGTTAATGTTAAGTGGTCCAATCAAAAGAAGCCCTCAACCCCATCCCTTGACTAAGAGCAACTGAACACATGCATTTCACAGCACTCGTTTCGCCCTGGCACGCAAGACTTCGTATCCCATTCCCCAAGCTATCTTGATCGGCATTGGAGCCAGCTTGCCCTTGCACGACGCATCACAACACATATCTAGTTATTGCGACGACGCCTACGAGAAACGATACGATACAATTGAAAGCGACCAAGACCGTCACCAAACCATACTGGGGACGACAGGGATCGGGCGCTTGATGCAGACGTTAAAGCCAGCATCACTATTTGGACCCTGAACGTAGCCTCATATCCCCTATCAACCTTCGAAGCGCAATCTATTCGATCGCTTTCGAGACCATCCGTCCCTTTCGACCAGCCATTTTCTCACCAGTTTCTTCGAAGCCGTTTTTGCTGTCCATCACTCTCGATCGACGCGCCGCAGAGCGTCTCTGCGCAAAAGCTGTCAATGCCATCCTATGACTTGCCAGGCTCCAATTCAAAGATGATGCCCCGGCACCATGCCGCCGCCTTTTCGAATGGCTATCCTCGTGGCAATACCTTTGACATATCCCCTCACAAGTACGATCGCCTCTCCTGAAACCATCGGCTCACGACTCGTACACTACTGGCGTCGCAAAGATTCATGGCAATTATGCTGACAAGGAGTCTCAACTAGGTTCCAACCGCGCACTTTGACGCCCGCCCAACGACGTCGCAATAAGCTCCTCGTCCGCCTATGTATCTTAGCGGCAATACTGTTTATTTTTAGTCTCTGGCTCTGGCCCTCCAGCCCCGTGGCTTCGCTGGTGTCTTTCGGGCTTCTTTCTGCTGGTGGTGCACCAGAGCTTGAGACAGTTCGATACTACGACTTGACCACCGTCCAGGGCACTGCTCGTGGCTGGGAACGCGAAGAGCGTATTCTATTATGCGTGCCACTTCGTGATGCCGAAGCGCACTTAGGAATGTTCTTTTCTCATATGCGCAATCTCACATATCCGCACCACTTGATCGATCTCGCTTTTCTCGTCTCCGATTCCAAAGACAATACTCTAAAGGTTCTCTCTGAGAGTTTGGAGGCCATTCAAGCCGACCAGGATCCTAAACAACCATACGGGGAGATCTCAATCATTGAGAAAGACTTCGGGCAGAAGGTCAACCAGGATGTCGAAAGTCGTCATGGATTCGCTGCTCAGGCCAGCCGACGAAAGCTGATGGCGCAGGCACGAAATTGGCTTTTGAGCGCAGCTCTGCGGCCGTACCACTCCTGGGTTTATTGGCGCGACGTAGATGTTGAAACGGCACCTTTCACCATTTTGGAGGATCTCATGCGCCATAACAAGGACGTCATTGTTCCCAGTAGGTTTGCCCAAAGTAACAACGTCTGGAATTGAACCCCAGTTTCTAACTTCTGTCTAGATGTTTGGCGACCGTTGCCCGACTGGCTTGGCGGTGAACAACCCTACGATTTGAACTCATGGCAGGAATCTGAGACAGCTTTGGCCCTCGCTGACACACTTGATGAGGACGCTGTCATTGTTGAAGGTTATGCCGAATATGCCACATGGCGCCCTCATTTAGCGTACCTCCGTGATCCTTTTGGCGATCCCGACATGGAAATGGAGATTGATGGTGTTGGGGGTGTTAGTATTTTAGCAAAAGCAAAAGTTTTCCGATCCGGTGTTCACTTTCCAGCCTTCAGTTTCGAGAAGCACGCCGAGACAGAGGGTTTCGGCAAGGTAAGAAATCCAACACTGCCGAAACGGTCATCATTAACATGTATAATACAGATGTCCAAGAGAATGGGGTACTCGGTCATTGGTCTACCTCATTATACCATCTGGCATTTGTATGAGCCTAGTGTGGATGATATCCGCCATATGGAGGTGAGCGTCCCTCTACCATGGGACTAACAAATTCTCGTATACTGACATCGAGTGCAGGAGATGGAGCGGGAACGACTTGCCCGAGAAAAGCAAGAGGAAGAGAAGAAAAAGAACCAACAAAAGATTAAAGAAGAGTATAGTGACACCCGGAACGAGTGGGAGAAGGACAAGCAAGAGATGCAGAATCTGGCAGCTCAGCCAAAGCCCGTCAAAGACACACAGAAAGCTCCCAGCCGAGATGGGTTGGCTCAACCCCATAACCAACAACCTGGCTCTGGCAACCAAGCCAAGGCGGGCTCAGGTAATGCTGCTCAAGGCGACATCAAACCGCAAGTGGTCAAGCAGGAGGGCAACGCAGCAAGACAAGAAGGCAAAGCTGCTCAAGAGGGAGACAAACGACCTGCTGTCCGTGCACAAGATGCGCCCAAGGCCAATCCAGGGGCCGCTCAGCAAGTCGGCAATGCGGCTGCTTAAAGATTTTCCATTTAAGATCTTTTCTGGTCTTGTTTCCTTGATCGCATCCGATATCTACTTGCTGTATAATAGAATGGATGTCATTGGAGTCGTTGGTTGTGAGTTTGTACACTTGGGCGGACAGCGGCCGAGAGTTAAAAGGTGTGGCCATCGGTAGATTCCCTTTGGCATGTAATTGGCGTTTGGTTGGGAAGGGCTACTTGTTATCAATATCAAAGAAGACAAAAAATCATACGCTTTAATGATTGCTATACTGTTGTGGGCAAAGATGAAGAAAGAATATAGTATACTGACTTTAGTTCTTTTTGCAGGATAGGGTATTATATGAATGGAGCTTCCTGGAAGGTTTATCCATAAGGACTGTATTGGTATTTCTGTGTAAATTCTTGATGCATTCATGCAATCCTCCGATTGTCGTATCCTTAAAGACAAGTTTGCTAATAAGCCCCTTTTCTCATACTGGGCGAGGTGGAAGTGTACCTAGGTATACAGATTACCTAGTAGGTAGGCAGGGAGAGAGTCAGTGGGAGTTTGAGTTTAAGCTCAAGCTTAAAAGCAAGGCCGGTCTTGCTGCCATTTTTGCTGCGATTTGAATTGAGAATGGGATGAACGAAATTGAGTTGATCATTTATTATGTCAATATTGATTCAAAAATTCCCATTCAACCTGCAGCCATGTATGTCTTTCAAGGGGCCATGACAGATGGTGGCAGCTGGCCAATCAACGTGGGCATTGGACGACACCTGGAGAAGGACAGCGCGCAGCTTCTAAGATCTTGGCATGGTTAAGTGGTACCTTGCCTTAGCTAGCCGTAGGTACGCTACGTTGCGACTTTGTCTTTATCATCCAACCTCGCAACTCTCTCGAGCAAACTTGACCACAAACGATTTCCCTTCCCGTCTTGCTGGAGACGTGGTACTGCCTCCGA